AGAATTAGTGTATCCGATTCCTCCACCCATTCTGTGAAGTCAGTTCTAGGCTTTTTCGTTGGTGCGCCAGCTGTGTACAAAAACAGTACAACCGCCCACCGCCCGCCCGAATTTAATTAAAATATTATTTTTCGTCACGTCATCCGCCCGATCCACGGTTTATCCGCGGAGTCCACGGCTGTAACCGCCATCCGCGCATCTCTAGTGTGTGTGTGTGTGTTTATGTGTGTGTGTGTGTGTATATGCATGCGAGTGTGTATGCGCATTTGTGTGTCAGTATGTGTGTGTGTGTGTGTGCGCGGGTGTCTATGTGCATTTGTGTGTCAGTACGTGTGTGTATGTGAGCAGTGGTTTTTGTGTGTGTCTGTATGTGTGTGAGAGCAGTGTTGTGTGTGTGTATGCATGAGAGTGTGTGTGAGCATTTGTGTGTCATGCGTGTGTGTGTTTGTATGCGCATTTGTGTGTCAGTATGTGTGTGTATGCATGCGAGTGTGTATGTGTGTGTGTGCGCGGGTGTCTATGTGCATTTGTGTGTCAGTACGTGTGTGTATGTGAGCAGTGGTTTTGTGTGTGTCTGTATGTGTGTGAGAGCAGTGTTGTGTGTGTGTATGCATGTGAGTGCGTGTGAGCATTTGTGTGTCATGCGTGTGTGTGTGTGTATGCGCATTTGTGTGTCAGTATGTGTGTGTATGCATGCGAGTGTGCGAGTGTGTATGTGTGTGTGTGCGCGGGTGTCTATGTGCATTTGTGTGTCAGTACGTGTGTGTATGTGAGCAGTGGTTTTGTGTGTGTCTGTATGTGTGTGAGAGCAGTGTTGTGTGTGTGTATGCATGAGAGTGTGTGTGAGCATTTGTGTGTCAAGCGTGTGTGTGTGTGTGTATGCGCATTTGTGTGTCAGTATGTGTGTGTATGCATGCGAGTGTGCGAGTGTGTATGTGTGTGTGTGCGCGGGTGTCTATGTGCATTTGTGTGTCAGTACGTGTGTGTATGTGAGCAGTGGTTTTTGTGTGTGTCTGTATGTGTGTGAGAGCAGTGTTGTGTGTGTGTATGCATGTGAGTGCGTGTGAGCATTTGTGTGTCATGTGTGTGTGTGTGTGTGTGTGTATGCGCATTTGTGTGTCAGTATGTGTGTGTATGCATGCGAGTGTGCGAGTGTGTATGTGTTTGTGTGTGTGCGCGGGTGTCTATGCGCATTTGTGTGTCAGTACGTGTGTGTATGTGAGCAGTGGTTTTGTGTGTGTCTGTATGTGTGTGAGAGCAGTGTTGTGTGTGTGTATGCATGTGAGTGCGTGTGAGCATTTGTGTGTCATGCGTGTGTGTGTGTGTGTGTGTATGCGCATTTGTGTGTCAGTATGTGTGTGTATGCATGCGAGTGTGCGAGTGTGTATGTGTGTGTGTGCGTGGGTGTCTATGTGCATTTGTGTGTCAGTACGTGTGTGTATGTGAGCAGTGGTTTTTGTGTGAGAGCAGTGTTGTGTGTGTGTATGCATGTGAGTGCGTGTGAGCATTTGTGTGTCATGCGTGTGTGTGTGTGTATGCGCATTTGTGTGTCAGTATGTGTGTGTATGCATGCGAGTGTGCGAGTGTGTATGTGTGCGCGGGTGTCTATGTGCATTTGTGTGTCAGTACGTGTGTGTATGTGAGCAGTGGTTTTGTGTGTGTCTGTATGTGTGTGAGAGCAGTGTTGTGTGTGTGTGTGCATGTGAGTGCGTGTGAGCATTTGTGTGTCATGCGTGTGTGTGTGTGTGTATGCGCATTTGTGTGTCAGTATGTGTGTGTATGCATGCGAGTGTGCGAGTGTGTATGTGTGCGCGGGTGTCTATGTGCATTTGTGTGTCAGTATGTGTGTGTGTGTGTGTGCGCGGGTGTCTATGTGCATTTGTGTGTCAATACGTGTGTGTATGTGAGCAGTGGTTTTGTGTGTGTCTGTATGTGTGTGAGAGCAGTGTTGTGTGTGTGTGTATGCATGTGAGTGCGTGTGAGCATTTGTGTGTCATGCGTGTGTGTGTGTGTATGCGCATTTGTGTGTCAGTATGTGTGTGTATGCATGCGAGTGCGCGAGTGTGTATGTGTGTGTGTGCGCGGGTGTCTATGTGCATTTGTGTGTCAGTACGTGTGTGTATGTGAGCAGTGGTTTTGTGTGTGTCTGTATGTGTGTGAGAGCAGTGTTGTGTGTGTGTATGCATGTGAGTGTGTGTGAGCATTTGTGTGTCATGCGTGTGTGTGTGTGTATGCGCATTTGTGTGTCAGTATGTGTGTGTATGCATGCGAGTGTGCGAGTGTGTATGTGTTGTGTGTGTGCGCGGGTGTCTATGTGCATTTGTGTGTCAGTACGTGTGTGTATGTGAGCAGTGGTTTTTGTGTGTGTCTGTATGTGTGTGAAAGCACTGTTGTGAGTGTGTGTGAGCATTTGTGTGTCATGCGTGTGTGTGTGTGTATGCGCATTTGTGTGTCAGTATGTGTGTGTATGCATGTGAGTGTGTGTGAGCATTTGTGTGTCATGCGTGTGTGTGTCTATGTGCATTTGTGTGTTAGTATGTGTGTGTATGCATGCGAGTGTGTGAGTGTGTATGTGTGTATGTGTGTATGTGTGTGCGCGGGTGTCTATGTGCATTTGTGTGTCAGTACGTGTGTGTGTGTGTGTATGTGAGCAGTGGTTTTTGTGTGTGTCTGTATGTGTGTGAGAGCACTGTTGTGTGTGTGTGTGTGTGTGTGTGTATGTGAGTGTGTGTGAGCATTTGTGTGTCATGCGTGTGTGTGTGTATGTGAGCAGTGGTTTTTGTGTGTGTCTGTATGTGTGTGAGAGCAGTGTTGTGTGTGTGTATGCATGTGAGTGTGTGTGAGCGTTTGTGTGTCATGTGTGTGTGTGTGTATGTGAGCAGTGGTTTTTGTGTGTGTCTGTATGTGTGTGAGAGCAGTGTTGTGTGTGTGTATGCATGAGAGTGTGTATGAGCATTTGTGTGTCAGTATGTGTGTGTGTGTGTATGCCCATTTGTGTGTCAGTATGTGTCTGTATGCGGGTGTCTATGTGCATTTGTGTGTCAGTATATGTGTGTGTGCATGCGAGTGTGTATGTGTGTGTGTGTG